CAAATAGATGATAGACATTATTTTTGCATTTCTCTTCCCCTCGAGTTTTTCCTCCATTTTTCATTTTCTTGTTATCTGCTTAGACATTTTTAGATATCTCCCCTTCCCTTTTTTCAACCCATCCTTTTGTGGTTTCCTGTATTCCAGTAGCTTGGTTAGACATACAGCAGTGACAACTTGCTGGCAATGATACAGTGGATTAGAAGGGTGTTTACTCAAAGACACTGTGGAGCAAAATATTGTTCCCAAGGTTGAACTTAGAGGCTTTTATGCTTACGACAAGTTAGTTAGATTAGAATAATAGTTTAGCTGTAGTATGTACCATGCTGCTCGAATGAAAATATACTTTTGTTTTCAATTGATTAATAAACTGACGATCTAGCCTGGCTATGAGTACTCAAAAAAAAAATAATAATAATCAATATATTTAAAAAAACTAAATTCCATATAAATAATATATTAAAATTATCAAAATATTAAAAATATTTATTATAAAAAACCTTTATAAACTAGTAGTTAACATTTTATATAAATAAAAAATCTTTTTTTTAAAAAATTTTAGCTACTAATTCTTTGATTACTATTTGTAAAAAAATATTTTTATAACTCCATATTTTATAAATAATAAAACTTTATAACTCTCTTTGATATATACTTGCTTTAATCAGCAAGTATTTATTTTTATCTTTTTAAAAATTTTTTTTTTCTAAAACTTAAATTCAATTTTTATAGTAAAAAAGTTAGATTGAATAAAAGAAACCAAATAAAAAATACCTTAATTCTTTTTTTTATAGAGGTTTCAAAGTTTTAAAAAAAAAGTATCAAAACTATCAATTTCATAATAATTTGTAAACTAATATTATTATTATAGACAGTAGTTTAAATTAATTAATTAAAGTTTTAAATTGATTAATCTTTTGTTAGTATAAATATAAACAATAATATATATTGTATACAGTATATTTTTTTATATCTGTTTATTTATTCTTATCGATAAAATATAAAAGTTAAAATATTCAAATTTTATTGATCTGAAACTTTTTGTTAAATTTAAATTGGCAATTATAATTTTTTTTTAATAAAAAAAAATAAATAAAAATTTCAACAAGCTCAAAATTATAATATGATCGTTCTAAATTTCAAATATTATCGATTCAGCATGTACGTTTACGGGAAGGCTTTCTTAATATCGAATGCACACGTGCGTCATGCTATGCTTTTTGGGGGGTTTATTTTAATTTTTATTTTTTTTTAAAAAATTTTTTTTTAATTTTTTTTAAATTTTTTTTTTTTTTTTGAAGAAAAAAGACATATGCGAGTTTCGCGTATATACTTTGTATTCATGTGAATTGAAAAAAAAAAAAGAACGGATAAGAAATAAACCAAATGAGTAAAGATATACAGTATATAATTTTCTTTTTTTTTTGTGATATACAGTATATATATATATACAGTATATACTATATATATATATGATTCTCATATCTATGAAAAAACGGTATGCAACTGAGTCTTCAAGGATAAAATGAGAATCACGAGTGAATGAGCGAGGCATGATATACTACAGGTTGGAATGAGGTTAATTGTAAATGGTGTGAAAGTGACAGTTAAAAGTATAATAATAAAAGAAAGAAAGAAAAAGACGGGAAAAAATGAATAATGGAGGAAAAACTCGAGGGGAAGAGAAATGCAAAAATAATGTCTATCATCTATTTGGATGGATGGGATTGGAAAGTTTACACGTACTATCTATGTTATGTGTAGTTCTACGGAATAAATGAGAATGAAATATGTATAAATGCAATATGTTCAGAAGACGTGATGCAAGAAATAAAATATGTAACACTATATATAATGAGGGTGTGTATATTTAACAAGTGAGATTTTGTATGTTGGTGCACCGAAGAATGTTTTTTTTTATGAAAAAAATGAAAGAATTTAAAAATAGATGGCAGAAAATCTATCAGTAGCTGCAGACTCGGGATGTTTGATGTCCAAAGATTTTCCTTGCTTATGAACAACAATCTTGTTAACAATAATTCCACCACCATTGTTCGTATCAATAGAAGAAGGTGGCTTCTCATCGCTATTGTCAGAAGAGTAGGATCGATCCGATGCAGAATCGTCCGATAGTTTGTTCAAAGGAGTTTGGGAAGGTGGTTTTGGAAATACAAAAGACAGAGGAGCAGAATTATTGTGCTTCTGGAAATAAGATTTCAATCGAATTGAGGTGAATCCTGGAATGATGGAGTTTGTGCCACGCCTTTGATTGTGATGATTGTTACTCTCCCCGATGATCGTCGGGTTGGTAAAGTCACTTAGACTATGATTTTGTCCGTTTCCTTGATAGGGAGCACTCACCGATACCATAGGAGCACCCTCGCAAATTGCCATTGTTTGAGTGGACTCATGATGAGGACACAAGATGAGAGTGATCGCTCCGTACACCAACGATGAACTTATGCTTAGTACTTCGAATACGGCGATCCTTAAAGTAAGATTCTGGAGCACAACATTACCCATCAGCCGGTTGATATTACAAACGAACAAAGAAATTATTTCGACAGCCAGGAAACCAATAATGAACCAATTCCTCGATCGGTACTTTTTAATTTGTTGCATTGCCTGTCTGCCTACCAGCAAACCTTCATTCAACACTGTCGTTATTCTTCTGTTCAACAATATAAACACCAATTCGGCGATCAGCAACTGAACTATATAATATAAATTGGGAATCAGGAGGGCCCGATTCACATCGCCGGAATTGCTAAATATAATTATAACAAAAACGAACGAAGGATAGCAGAAGAGACCATTGAACAGATTTAGGTAGTTGCACAATTTCTGCTGCGCATTCGACAATATCGGTTCTTTGGATAAGGTATTTGTTAATGGGGAATAACGGGCGATTGAGATAAGCAATGTTATCGATTTGAATCCTAATGCGAGCATCCACAACATCAACGAGACGGTCTTGGGTGATCCAGAGAGCATTAACGGTGAATTCTGAACATTACTGTTGTTAAATGCAACAAAATCTCCCACAACTTCCAATATCATGGAGACTAATAGGAACGATACTCCAACTCCACGTGAACTTATAGTTATCCATTGCTTTATTACTGGCGGTGGCTGAGAAGGAGCATTCTGAGAGAATATGAAATAGACCGACCAAAAGAACACGAAAATTGTAGACAACGCGCGATTTAAAAGGTTAACGTTGAATATAATAAAATCATCATGGTTTGTGGTTTCATTATTAAAAGTGTTCATGATTGATAATATATTTTGGGAGGGAATGGAATTCTACTTCGTAGAAACTTAGAATGGTAATTGTATAATGGTTGTGTGTTGGCGTATCTACAGTGGTCACATGAAAGTATTTTGAATAGGGAGAGAGAAGAGATACCTCTTCGGAAGGTGAATAATATTCCCGATAAGGTTTTTTAAGAAGACGGGAAAGAAAATTTGAAATATTCACAAATCCCGAGAGGTGTCTGTCGAAAAAGAAAAAAATTATTCCAAATTGTATAGAGGTTTTCTTTTTATATTTTTGAAAAAAAGGACAAAGAATCGATTATACATCAATGGGAAAGCTGCTATGATAATAAACACTAAAAGTTCTGCGAAAGAACAAGGAACATCACGTGATGTAAATATCTTTGTTTGCTTGCAGCGAATCAAATTTATATTGTTTACTTGGTTTGGTGTAAGCGTAGTTAACCGTAAATAAACAATGTACACGAATTCTTACGCACGAGATTCGACTTTGTGAAGACCTTTTTAGGAATCTTCTTTGGGCATTTCGCGTGTGTAATGTTCGCTACACGAGAAGTCTAAAAAGGTCAACTGATAATTAAGCTTCATTACTTTGATCTACATAATATGTAACGGTATTAATAAATCGACCGACGGTCGATCCGTGCTAATTGGTGATGCAAATGCAGAAAAGACAAAGACTTCGGCGTATCGAGAAACGATGTTATTCATCTTATATGCACGAAGATGATGAAAGTCACGCATGTAAAAGCATAATCATTTTTTTTTAATCTTGATAACCAGTTACATTAGTCGAATTTATCAAAGTTTGCTATGTATGCCACTCCTTCACTGGTATTGCGGAAAAAATAATGCGTAATTATTCTCAAAACTCGGCTCAAATATTAATTCTGACACATCGTGCATTACTCTTTGTTACACTCTGTATTACAAACAAAAGTTTTTCCTAAAGTCACGATTAAATAAGATTTAACCTAAGTTCCCGTTTTATAATAACCTTATTTCATAGTAAACTTCATCCATTGAAAATCATTGCTATTAGACATTATCAATAATATAAGTTAACATTTAATATGTAAACTTTGATTAATTAATTAAATTAAATTATTATAAAAATAAATGAAATAAATAATAAAAAATAAATATGTTTAAAATATAAAAAGTATTGATATTTAAAAAATATCAAAGTATTTATTTATTTATTTTTAATCTAAATTAATTTTTATTAAATAATTATATTAAAAAAGTTTTTTATTATCAATTTAATAATAATTTTGATGATTTTAAATATAGTTTATTGATATTGATAATTATTAAATTTATTAAATAATATATAATATTTTTTTTCTGTTGATCCTCTAACTACACACAAAAAAGATGTTCGCAAGAAGTTTTATACTTCTTTACTAATAAAGTCTTTACACTTTCATTAAAACAACTTGAAACTTGTCTTCATGTATCTCCTTTACTCTCCCTTACTTGTTTATAAACTCCTTTAAATAAAAACTTGAGCCTCTAGTGGCCTGAAAAAACTCAAGTACACACTTCCTCTACTAAGGGCAAGAAGATTCTAGGAAGTAAAAGGACTGACAAGTGGAGTATCACCTTACAGAGCTAGAAGCGACAAGAAATAGTGGTCTTGTTGGTAGGGGAAGGCTTATTTTCCACCTTCTCACATATTGTCTTGTACTCTCTTAAAATGTCTATCATTTTTCATGGTTTTCTTGGAGGATTTTGCCTATCTCAGTTTGATCCTGAATTTCTGATAGCATAACATTACCTGGCATCTGATTGTTAATATAAAACACATTAGTAACTAAATGTAAACAAGCCCCTATTGGTCATCTCATGTGTTCTGATGACATCATTGGTGATAGAAAGAGTTGATTGGTGCCTCGTGTCCACCCACTTCTTCAATTGGGTTAACCTACAGATCAAGTATTATGAAGCCAATAAGATACGAGCAACAAGTCCTCAGGTGGTGAAAAAGCTGCTATTAATTCAAGCTGAGGTCTTTTTCTTCTATCATTCTAGTCAAGCAAAGTTCAAGACCAAGGTCTCCTCTTTATCCTGGTCAGGCAATAAGACTGAATGGTCTCTAGTCTATACTAAGCTTCAACCCTTTGGTTACAGTTAAGAATACATTTCCCTAGAAGTTGTTGAAGGATATTGCAATCAACGAGGATCCCTACCACTTTGCAAACCCTTCCACCATTACAAGACAAAAGAATTGTTGGGGAATCTGATCTTTTAGGTAATGGAAGATGTACACCAATAAAATTCCTTTAATTAGGCATGGATGCTGGAAGATATCATACTGAAACAACACAACTCAGTTCCTACTAGGTCACATAAGAACCTGGGGTTTATTATAAGTCACTTTTCTATCGCAGGTGGATAAAAAATCACTGTCCAAAGAAAGTTGGGATCAGTATATCCTAGAAGTAAAGGTTCCCACTAGGCGATAAGTCTTTTTAGATGGTACACAAGAAGGAAATCAAGATCAAAAATGGATAAGTTCCTTAGACGGTCAGGAAAAGAAAGAATATCCCAATCGGGTATTTCTTATTGAGAAGAAGTCTTGAGAAGTAGGTCTTTAGAGGAAGCTAAAAATATTTTTTTTTCAATTTCACTTTTTTGTTTTTTTGTTAGTTTACTTAGATATTTTTAGATATCTCCCCACCCCTTTTTTTTCAACCCATCCTTTTGTAGTTTTCTGTATTTCAGTGGTTTGGTTAGGCATATAGCAATGACAACCTGCTGGCAATAATGCAATGGACTAGGAGGGTCTTTATCCAAAGATACTGCAGAGCGAAATATTGTTTCCAAGGCTGAACTTAGAGGCTTTTATGCTTATGACGAGTTTGTTAGATTAGAATAATAGTTTAATCGTAGTATATATCATGCTGCTTGAATAAAAATGTACTTTTGTCTTTATTTGATTAATAAACTGACGATTTAGTCTAGCTACAGGTACTCAAAAAAAAAATTCAATAATATATAATAATTATAACTTTTATAAAATTATATAAATTTAATTTTAAAACTTTATTTTTTTACATTTTTTTAATTATAAAACAAGAATTATTGTTATACTTTATTTAGTATTTATAAAATTTTTTAATTAAAACTTGACTTTAATGATTAAGAAAAGTCAAAAATATATTTATTATCAATAATAAAAAAGTTTCTAAAAAAAAAAAATCAATTATAAAATCTTTTACTATTAAAACAAATTTTAAACAGATTTGTTATAATAAAAAAACTTATTTTTTCTTATTAATTATTTTAATCTTTCTAAAAGTTTTACTTTTATAGTTTTTTAAAAAAATTTGTCTATTTCAATTTAATTTTAAAATTTTAAGCAATATAATATTTACTTTTTTTTTTTTTTTTTTTTTTTTTTTTTTAACTCTCTATTAGGCTAGCTACGTATGCTTTATTAAACATTTGTAAACTATACATATAATATGAGACGTTAAAGCTAATTCTTTAACTAACTCACTTGTCTTGATTGTTTTACCTTTCTAAGTGTAACTTTGGAAGTAATTTATCGCTCTATTAGGAGTTCAAGTAAATATCCTTCCAACTTCTAATATCATTGCCTGCAGATTACTACTGCAGATTACTCTTTTGAGTTCTGATAGAGATTAAAACTCAACTGTTTTATCCCATACTTTACACCATCTCTTATGACCTGTTTGAGCATCATATTTTCTAATTCTTCTTCCTTTAATGATACTTAATATGACTGATTTCCTGGTACCTTGGTCCTGTTTTTTTACTTTTGTAGATATGTCAGCCTTTTGATCTTGTTATCTCTGTTAATTCCTAATGTCTATTCCTACTCTATCATCTTTTTACATCTAGCATTCCAAATTTTCTTTTTGAAGTGATTATGTATTTTCTTCTGCATCTTTATTATCCATTTTCTTGCTTCTTTACTGATTCTCTTTCTATAACACTTCGAGTCTGCTATCTCATTCATTAAGTTTTTTTCAATCAGTCCTATGCAGAAGTTGAGTATATCCCGACCAGTGTTTAAGATCCTTTCCACTAGTTGAGCTATTTTCTTATCCATTTCTCCTCTTTCTATTCCATTATCAACTGTTAGGCTTATCTCTTTTTTTTCTGACTCCTTTTTCCTATCTACCAGCAGTTTGTTGAAACCTTGTATCATATCTTTCATACCCTTCTGCCAGATTTCTTGCCACTGAGTTATGTATGCTGGACATTCTAGCAAG